AATGTATTGGCCAAACTGCAACAATTTGAGTATCAAAACATAAAACAAAAAATTACAATTAAGTAAAATATTTTGATTCCTGAAAAGCCAGAGTCAATAACGATATTCAAGGAAAAATAATGAGAATTTTCTTTTCAAATAACAAGTATTGTATTTGAGTTGTATTTATTCAAATGAGCAAAGATGTTATTCATCTTTAATCGTACAAATTGCTTCAGGATTGCAGATATGTAGACACACAAAGGCAGACGAAATACATGTCAGCAAATGACTGAAAAAATTTCATGCCCAGGTTCAGAACGTCCTTGTCCATCATGGCGACTGAGGTACATCTGTGATATGATAAATTATAGAGTCTGCAAAGCCTTAAAATTTAGTAACACTTTCATTGCCCACATTACCTAGAATTTTCAGATAGAAGTAAAACATTAAGCAGGAATTTGAAAAATATAAACTGGCCAAAGTGCGTGAAGAAACTAGGGTCAGATAGCCAGAGAGCTTGCCCTCAACTCTCATGAATATGAGATTTTCAGGCAACAGAAAGATGGTACTCTCTCCCCTTACTTCTTGGTGGACAAGCTTGTGAGACCTCCTGCTATAAGTCTATGGCCTGACACTTAACAGTTATTTGATGACTTACTCATCTTGTGTAAAGCACTATTGAAATTCATCAAAACTTTTCATTCATAGGCTGTAAGAACCCCTTCTCCCCCTCCCATCTCCATCTCCCTTGAGCCTGAAGGCACTTCAAAAAAAAACCTGTAACCTTGAGTGGAGTAGATTTTTGTCTTTGAAATAGACTGGAAATATGGAGACATCTGCTTGCTTGTACTCATTTGCTGTTTGGTGGTTCCAGCAGTTACTCCTCGTTACTCCCTTGATTTTTCTGTGAAAACAACTGGATGAAGCCTTCCTGAGCAGAGATAGAGGTCAAGGCCCCACGCTTGGACTGTTCTGGAGGGTTAGGGAAAAGCTTTGTCAACCTGATCAAACATGAGTTTATTAAACCTGAAAGGTTTGTAGAAAGTAACAGTAAAAAGATAATTCATTTATGGCACCAGTTGCTCTTCAAGAAGAATGAGATTTTTTTCCCCAGTTTTGTTGAGATTTAATTGACATACAGCACTGTATAAGTTTAATGTATACAGCATAATGACGACTTAAGAAGAGTAAGATTTTAATGTTTCATATTTTGGGTTTGCAGCCCTTGGTCTATGACTTATTTAATAGAAACATGTAAAGGTAGGTTGTACCAGGGATTTTTCAAATGTTTCTTAGACGAAAATACGCTATTATGAGATTATTAAGCTGATAAAAATTTGAATTACTCTAAAGAAATGCAAAAAGACTTATCTTAATGAAAAGTAAGATAAGTTTTATAGGTCATTGGTGTAACAATAGAACTAGAGACATAATCAAAATAGGTGAAATTAAAACAGACAGGAAAATTGGGGCAAGGGAGATCTGTGGAACTTAGTTTAAAGTTTGAGACAATTTGGGGCATCCTCCAAAGGTGAGATGTTCCAGAAATCCGGCAGTGGCAGGCCTCAAATCTCACTCACATCAAGCAATGTTAGCCAAGCTTCCAGCAGGCATATTGAGAAGGGTTTTAAAATTTGTTTTTACAAGTGCTTGCTGAGAAACAGAGCTACTTAACTGCAATGCCCATGATGTTTATGCCACATTACCAGAAGTTTTTCTTTTCTGGAAGTGTGAACAAAAACAAATAGCAACAGTCAAAATTGTATGTACTTTTTCTTCTATGCTGCTGGAATAGAAAGTAATTTTCCACTTTATAAAATACCTGCCACCTCTGAGATGACTTTCATCTTCATAGACTCTATGTCAGAACTGAATTTCACCCAACAGTTGGAAGTTGGCCAATAGAAGAGTCTCAACCAAGCCATGTGAAGCCTTGTTTCTTCCACAATACACAATGGTACATTGGGGCCCAAGGGAGGAAGGGAGCGGTCCCGTTCTACTTGGGTGGGATGGGGTGAGAAAGTTTCCTGGAGGAGGTGACCCTTAAACAGTGCCTTGAAAGAAGAGTACATATATAATAGGTAGATGAGGCAGGGCTTAGTGGAGAGGCCAGACATGCAACCCAGAAAGCGGGGAGCAGTGTGGGCTAAGGCATGTGGGGTGACATAGTCTGGTGTGTTTGTAACTTTGGAGGTCAGGAATGAGGTAGGGCACAATGATATAAATAGTGGATGGAAAGCTAGATGGAAAGCAGGGCCAGATCATGGATGTCCTTGCACGTTGTACTAAAGAGTTTGTTTTCATTCATTTATTTAATAAATCCATGTATTGAGAACATACTAAATGCCAGGCCTTGGGGAGACATGGTATTGAGAACATACTAAATGCCAGGCCTTGGGGAGACATGGCATATTTTTTTGTTCTCATGGAGGTTATAGCGTAAGGGGCAGACAGACATTAAATCAATAATCACACAAATAATAATTTAATTTTACTTGTGATAAGCTCTCCTCTGTGAAGGACAATGCTTGTTTAATGAGAGAGTTTGTAGTAGGGAAATCTAAGTTAGTCTGGGGGTCCAAGAAGGCTTCCCTGAGGAAGTGACATTTAACCTGAGAACTAAGTAGGAGCTACTGAGCTAAAGGAGGGCTTGTTTGGGTGGGGTTGTTGGGGAGATTGGAAAGAGCATTTCAGGCAGATGTGACACGGGCAAAGGCCTGGAGACAGGGAGTTATGTGGAGCTTTAGAGAAACAGAAAATCCTATATAGCCTATGGAGGGACCCTAATCAGGGGAGCCACATGATCATATTTGCATTCTAGAAACCACCCCCTGGCTGTAGTGTGGGAAATAATAAAGACATGTAAGACAAGAGATAAAGAAACCAGTTGGTGTGGTGTTATCATAGATCCGGTGGGAGTATGAAGGTGAGAGCTAGAGCACTGACAGTGTGGACAGACAGGAGGGGATGGATTTAATAGCTGTTTAGGCGCTAGAATTGGCTGTACTTAATGAGCAATGAATTAGATGTGGGGAATGAGGAGAGGGAAGTCAAAAGAGTGACTCCTGGGTTTGTGGATGGAGCACTGGTGCACTTTTTTAAGGGAGCTGCCAGTAATGTTTTCTGTCTTTAATTTTAGTGTTGAAGAGACTTGAGCATGCTTATAGCCATTAGGGGAGGCAGCCATTAGATAGGGAAGGCTTAGAAGTGCAGGAATGGGAAACATGAATGGATCCATGCCAGGGACTGCAGCAAGAGCAGACTGGAGGGATTAACCTTGACCACAGAATGCTGGTTTCTTCTTAGATTGGAAGAAAGTAGTGAGTGTAGATTTAAATATAAAAATGGTTACTGTTTGGGGCAGGGAGTGAGGGAGTTTTTTCCTGATAGCCTAAATTTTCTCAGTGAAAGTTCAAGCACAAGGAAATTTCAAAATAGCAATTGTGAACAAGGGGGGAGACATTGATCAGGGACAAGTGAAAGCCTCAAAAGTTTGCTGAAATAAATGAATGAATGATTGCTATAAATGATATAAAGCAGAATATAGAATGTGTGGTGACGTGATAATGTTATGAGATGAAGTTGGAAAGGTAGGATGTGTCTAGATTATGGAATCTGGTCTTTATATAGGCAATGGGGAGCTATCAAAGGTTTTTGCGTAGTGGAGAGATGAACAGGATATAAGATTGTTTGGGGTTGAGTGGGGTCAAGGAGAAGTACTACAGGTCACGAAGAGGCCTTAAAATAATCTAGGTGATACAGGCCAGCCCAGTGGCATAGCGGTTAAGTTCTTGTGCTCTGCTCCAGCGGCCTGGGGTTTGCGGGTTCACATCCCAGATGCGGACCGACGCACTGCTTATCAAGCTACGCTGTGGTGGCGGCCCAATCTTCCTCAGCAAAAAGAGGAGGATTGGCAACAGATGTTAGCTCAGGGCTAATCATCCTCACACACACACAAAAATAATCTAGGTGATAGATAAGGGATGTGCTTTATTTGGGGGTTGAGAGCAGAGAGTACAAAGTTAAGAATTACTGAGGAATAGATCCCTCAAAGGACTAGTGGTGGTGCCAACAGTTGGATTGGGGGATCCTTAGGGCCCTTCCCTAAAATCACAATCACCTTCCATCTTAGTCTACCCTAAATAACTGTACACTCTAAAGTAAAAACAGGGTGCTTTCTAGGCAAATGCTGGTTTGACATAAATTACCTAGCCCCCATCCAGATTGCCATACTTAAACGTTTCCCTGTATAGACATAAAAGAACTTCCACTGCATAGAGCTTAGATGCTACTCAGATTTAAGAAATGAAAGAGAAAGAGTCAGAGATAAGTCAGAAATTTTAACTGGCTTTACTGGGTAGATGTCATGATACTATTGACCAAGAAAGAGAACATGGGAGATCACATTCATGAGGAACATGATGAATTTTAGGTCCCATAAAGATCTATGTGGATTTGGGCTATTGGGGTGGAGAATGTGAGTCTGGAGCTTGGGAAGGAGGTTGGTCTTGTCATGCAGACCTGGGCGTCATCTGTACAGAGCTGGTCATGAAGCAGTGGGGTCCAAGGAGAGAGGTAAAGGGATGTAAGGAAAGACTGAGAACAGACCTTTGAGGAATGCTCTTTAAGAGGGCAAGCAGAGGAGGAGTGTCAGGAAGGAAAAAGAGAAAATGTCGGAGAAGCAGGAGGATAAACCGAAGAACACAGCTCATGAGAGCCCAGACTGGAGAGTCACGCTGAGGAAGGGCTAGTCAAGGATCATGGTAGAGTACCTTTTTCTTTTACAAAAAACTTGAAAATTGATTTTTAATTTACATTTAGTTTTAGAAAATGGTCTCTCTTTTAACATAACTTATTAAAAATATTTAAAAATGCTCTGAATCCTTCCAATTTTGCTGTTTCATGATCAACCTCCCAAAAGTTCTGCTGTTCTTTGTGCTGAATTTGTTAAAATCTGTTCAGCAGTTCCATCCAAGTGCTTCAATCTGGACTAAAGATGTTACTTGAATTCCCTTTGATTTTCAAGTTGAATGTCCTTGTCTTTGTCATAGTAGAGTTGATCCTCACATAGACAGTCAACTCCCATCAGGTTGCTCTGGGTCTGCATTTGAGTATAAAAGTTAGAATCATTTTCTAACTGCAACAGATTATCCTATGAATATTTATCCCAATCTCTATCATTGAAGGGCTCTTGTGTTCTTAGTGAACTGGTTTTATTTGGAAGCTCTTGTAATGATGGTACCCGGCTCTTGGAACTGTCTTCAAAATATTCGCCCCCTCTTCTTTCACACTGAAGAGCAGACTCATCACCACAGGATTGTAACAACTGTGTTTGGTTTATAACCTTTCTGGAACCATCGTCCTCAAGATGACATACAGACCCCTTACTTGCATCAGTTTCCATCAGGTTGGAATTCATGTCGCCTTCTTCAAAATCTTGTGAGGGTCTTAAGTTTTCCCCTGTAGTGATCTTGAAAGGAATATCGTTTTGAGCTGTGTCTGTTCCCTGAGTGAAAGGTTCTTCTTTACAAATGTCTGAGTCTCTTTCATGACAGGCACTCTTACCAGGATCTGAGGGAACTTCGGCAGAACAAGGTGGTGTTTGTGGTAAAATATCCACATATGAAAATTCTAGGTCTTTAAGTGAGTAAAGCCACTCTACTGCCTCGGATTGAGGAGCTGTGACATAATCATAAATGAACGTGTCTGGGATCTCATCAATGAAAGGACTATTGCCCAGTGATCTGGGCAAGGTCAATGGATCCTCAAATTTATTGGTGTAAGAGGCATTTTCCAGATGAGCCTCACACAAACCAGAGTCTGGACCAGAAGTTAGAGGTTTTTCAAAATGATCTTCCTGATTCTCACATTTCCCCACAATCTTCTGGAAGGTGATGCCGTCGTCAAGACTCTCTAATGACATAACATTGTCCTTCCTCATTCCTGAGTCCTGGTCCTCTGGGAACTCACTGGCTCTATGACTCTCCTCGTCATGTGCCTCTTCTTCAGTCACATTTCTTGCATCCTCTGAACTTATTGAACTTAGAGTAAATAAAGACCCCTCATCAGAATCATAGTTGGTGTCCAACTCATACTGAGTGTCAGAAGGAGGGTGTTCCTGCATTGGTTCCTTGTTAGCAGGAGTGACATGCAGGTCTCTGCCCCATCCTGGAGGGAAGACTGGTGGGGATGAATCCGTATCTCCTGGGTCACTGAGTGTGACCGCACTGTAGTAGGTGGAAAGTTCTTCCTCAGCACTGGCCCCCTTGAGCCCTTGCTGCTGTGCGCTCAGCAAATTAATGTAAGTGCTCACTGGCATTTCCTTAGAGAACTCCGACGGTAACTGCTCAGTGCCCCGTCTTTCCTCATTCTCTCCAGCCCTCTGTGCTTCTGTATGTATTAGCATTTGAGAGAGAGTTGCTTCTCTCGAGAGTTGTGGGTCTAATTCATTCAAATCATTATGGATTGAGCCAGAGACCGTTTGCGATCTGCCAGCTACTGCAGGGACGCCCGCTGACTGCTCGCTGAGAGAATCTGCCCGGGCCACAGTTTCAAAATTTATTTCTCCAAGAATATCATTCCTGTAGATGTGGTCCCGTGCTGCTGAAATTAGTGCGTTATGATCAGCATTTGGCTGTCCGAGGAGAACGGACCCGGCTGCAATGTCATTTGGAAATGCGTTATCCTCTCTACTTCCTGCCGCATTGTTGTCCTCGCCTTGTTCCCAGCTCTGCCAACTGCCAGGCTCCTTTCTGCTCGGTCCCAGAGTTCTATCAGGAATGACAGCAGCAGGTGGGCTGGCCGCTGTCACCGAGAAAGAGTCTTGGTTCTCATAGAGGTTGAGATCACCGAAAGCTTGGTGCAGACCTACCCTTGGGTGGTGCATATTCCCTGCAGCTTCCGTTTCATTGTGGAATCCCTCGTTTGAATATGCATTATCCAAACCATGGCTTTTCTTCTGGCACCTCTGTTGCCACAGTCTGTCAACATAAGGCCTTGCAAAAGCCCCCAGGCAGAAAGCCACCAAGAATGTGATGAACACCGACAGACAGACAGCCAGGGCGAGGTCCTGGGAATTGTCTTCGTCTCTGCCAGAAGTTCGCACAGCATCGTCGTCACTTCTAACCCACCTTGGCAGCCGTCTGTGCTTTGCACTGGTATCAGAGCTGGCATTGTCCTTCTTCCCCGGTGTGGAAAAGTGCACGTACAGCTCTTCCTGGGGCCTCTCAGCTTTGCCCATTATGAGGCTTTTCCTGTGATTCGATTTAGTGTGAGGAAGGTGAGTCTCCCTGGAAATTCTGCTTTTGGGAGTCCACCAATATACCTCCTCATTCCCTGAAAATGGGGGATAAAAAACACATATTGAGTGGACATTGAAATAAGATTCTAGTGGTTTTAAAGCATCTGTGAGTCCTCCTCAGTCCTTACCTAGCTGTATTTAAATTGCATATTACATGATGATAAGCAGCTTTACTGATTGATTGTCTAATGCCAATAGTATGTATATGGCTCTGTGAGCATTTACGCATGGCTCTCAGGCTGAGGTCTGCTGCTCACAGGCCCAGGAGGTTGTAAGTTTCTTAGGTTTCTTGCCTGACTGCTACCCACGGAAGGAAAAAAGCCAGACTGGAGGGACAGCCACATTGCTTCTCCTTCCTCCATATCCTCACCTACTGCACGTTTGTGAGAACGTTCCATCAGCCCTCTGCAAAATCTGCCTCAGCCCTACCCATGTTCGCAACATCATTACCTCACCATTCTCCAGTGTCGGTAAACAGCAAAACTATTCAGATTTCTCTACTGGTTCCTGACATTCTGCCCTCCATACTGAGAAGGCCAGTTGTGGATTTTATAGAGGAATGAAACAAGTGTGGCTGACAACATTAAGACTTCTCTATGATCTTCTTGGATTTCTACTAAACCTGGTAAGAATGGCCATGTTTCTACTTGAACAGCAGTCTTGAATAGAACACAGTCCAGGACTCATTTAAAAAAAAATCTGACTCCCCACCACCCTGCCGTTAGTTTTGAGATTTAGCCAAGAGAGTTAAAAGTGAAAAAATGCTTTCCAGAATGTTCAACTCCAGTAACATATTCTAGCACTTTGGGAGAGTAGCAGGGAACAAATCAAAGAAAACTGTACTTTTGAAATCTGTGTTTTTTGTGTATGTATAGTATTATACTTTCAGAGGGTTAGCAAGCATTTTAAATAATCATGTTTCAAGTTTTAAAAGGTCTTTCTTTGATTATTTGTTAAGAATTAGGATAAAAATATGAAATTTGGGGGCTTTCGGGCAAAATTCTGTCATTGTGAAATTTCTGTTTTTGACCAAATCCAGTGATTTCTGAGCTATTAAACTAGATTTCTTTGACCATGGGAGGGAGGTCATTCATGAACTGAGGAAAATAGTTAAGTACCAATGATTATTCTGTCATACAGCCCAAGGCTGACTAATGCCATGGATCAGCACACTTCCTTTCATGGGGACTGTCATTGTTTCAAATGAGACTAAATTTTTCATGTGCTTGTTTCAGTTTAAATGGAACCATTTCAGAGAGAAGAGGTACTACTAACTTACCCGTAGACTTGTTGCAAATTACATTCCACTTTCTCCTCCAGGATTCAGAAATGAAATTTTGGAAGGCTGCCACATTATAGTCACACTGCCACTGGTTATCAGCCAAGTCAACCTCCAGATGGGGAAATTCTAGAGCAATGATCATCATTGGCAGGATGGTGGTCAGAGCATTGTTGCTGAGGTCCACAACCTGCTTGAGAAGAAAAAAATTTAGGACAGTCTGTGAATAAAGACATTCAGAGACAAAATAAATGGGTTACAGATATTGCTTACTCCTCAATGGATGCAATATGGATTTCACCTTGATTTGAGTGTCAGAGAATACTGGGTTTAAATCTCTGCTCTGCCCCTAACAGCTCTGTGAGCTTCAGGGAATTGTTTACTCTCTATGAGCCTACCTCCCAGGGTTATTGTAAGGATTAAATATATATGAAAGCTTTAAAAATGGTGTCTATATTAGATGCCCAATCATTTTCCCTTCCTTCTTTCCTATGAGTTGTAATTTGTACTGTTAGATAAAACCTAGACTCCCTGTTGTTATCAAGGTCTAGATTAGATACCAGGTCTAGAACGTCTAGAAGCACTGTGATCTTGGAACTGACAGAAGATACTGGATAAAGGACAAAGAACACAGAAGAATTGTGGTTGACCAGAAGTAGCAAAGAGAAATCTTTTGCATCAAATGTTATCTCAAGGGGAACAGTACATTTATCTGCATCTATGTTTACTCAATATATGACTAATTTTTCTAGTCTAATCAGAAATGAAGGGGAATGAAAAGGATTCAGTGGCTCTAGAAACACAGAGCGAGATCTGTTGGAGTTGGACATGGCAGTGGACAAAACCAAAAGGCTGAATGTTACCAAGGCCAGTCGTTTTACAAACATCAGGGGAAAAGCAGCATTGACATTTAGATTATATGAATTCCTAAGAAGAGCTGATTCAGACAAGTAATCAAACAGCACCACCACCAAGACTGCTACATGTAGAATCAGAATTCTCCCTGAATTTAGGTAGAGAGGTGACCTTTCCAGTGTTGAGTAACCAAGCAGTTTTGACTCCTCTGATTCTAGTACCAATTCCAACATGTGGACTTTTTCCCCACACATCCAAGCAATTCTTGGACACCGGCTAGGTATCCTACAATTCAACCCAATTCTGACACTATCTACCTGCAAATAGTGTCAGATCCCACAAGTTAAGGGCTCAGTCCCACAAGTCTGCCCCCTCTACCTCCCTACTTTAGAAGCCAATTGAAAGTTCAGGTTGTCAACTGTGCTTCTGACCTATCAGCTACCGAGGTCCCAACAACACATCCTCCTTGGGTTCAATTAATTTGCTAGAGGGGCTCATAGAACTCAAAGTAAGATTTTACTTCGTCGATTAGTGGTTTATTATAAAAAGGATATAACTCAGGAACAGCCAGGTGGAAGAGACACATAGGACAAGGTATGAAGAAAAGGTGTGGAGCTTCCATGCTCTCTCTGAGCCTGCCACTCTCCCTGCATTTCCATGTGTTCCCCAACCTGGAAGGTCTCCAACCTGTCCTTTTGGCTTTTTACGGAGGCCTCATTAAATAGTCATGATTGATTACATCATTAGCCCATTGGCAGTTGATTCAACCTCTGGCACCTCTCCTCTCCTGGGAGGTCAGGGGGGTGGGACTGAAAGTCCCTCTAATCCCTCTAATCCAGGGTTGGCTCCTCTGGCCCCCAAACATAAGTGCTTTCCAAAAGTCATCCATTGACATAATGAAAGACAACTTTATGACTCTCATCATTTAGGAAATTTCAAGGGTTTTAGGAGATCTGTGCCTAAAAAGGGGACAGAGACCAAATATATGTTTCTTATTATCAATTGTAATATCACAATTCCCAAAGGAAGGTTGCCAAAAACAGGAACTAGGAGACTGGGATTGGGAAGAAAAACAAACTTTGCTTTGGCCTGGCTTTGCCTAGGATCAATAGCTTTCTCATTTACCCCTCCTTAACAACTGAGTAAAATATTCTAATGTTTTTCAGGTAGTTATTTTCTTTTTAGTGCATGCCTGCATTATTTTCATCCTAGCATCTTATTACGTTACAAATCATGGAACTGAAAGCAAAACTGGAGACAGGACAGAAAACTAATAAGATGATTCAGGAGGAATAATTTCTGAGACAAGATTAAAACAGAATAGTCTAATTTGGCTAAAGAAACAGCCATCCACCATCTCTTGAAAGGGGTGTACACCATAGAAGGATTGGGAGATGCATATAATGTTGCTACACAAATCACTGCATCTAAGAAGAATGGATGGGATTAAGAAAAAGAATGTTAATTTTAAATGCCAAGGAAATTTATTTCATTCTATCTAAACATGATGATGAATGTAGGCTTTGAAAAATGTAACTGGTTTCTGAAAAGATTCCTACATGGGAAGACACATAGTATAGTGCAAGTATTAAATATATTTCCTGAAAAAAAAAACATCCATTTTAATATTCAGCTTTCTGGTACCAAATACGTTCATCACATTCCAAACCAGTTTTTAGAGATATTGCCAAACATGTAGAAGGGATAATAGAGAAGGAGAAATTGTATGATCTTGGGTAGTTCAGGTGAATTGAGAATTACAGATGATTTAAAACATTCTTGGGGTTGATTTTTAGTTTGCCTGTAGCATCTATTATCTGTGAGCTGCAGAAGACTTATAAAGCACAATAAAAATGCATAGGAAATAAAACAGACATAGGGAAATTACATATACAAATATACTTAGAATCGATATACAATATAGCAAATGAGGTTCACAGGCAATCTGATAACCTCTTTGTGGTAAATAGGGGAGCACTGCCAAGTTAAATGGACTTTCTCATCTGCTCTGATAACTATTGTGGCAGACAGACTCCAAGATGGTCCCCAATGATCCTGCCTCTTGGTTATTCATGCCCTTAAGTAATCTCCTCCCCTTAGCGTAGGTGGGACCTATGACTTGGTTCTAACCAATAGAATATGGCAAACGCAATGGGACGTCACTTCCATGATGACATTACATAAGTTGCAATGTTCTTCTTGCTAGTGGACTCTCTTTATTGGGTTCTGAAGCAAATTGCCATGCTGTGAACTGCCCTTTAGAGAGGCCTACATGGCAAAGAACTGAAGGCAGGCTAAGGCTGATAGCCAGGAAGGAACTGAGCCCCATTCCAACTGCCCGTAAGGAATTAAATCCTGCAACAACCACGTGAGCTTGGAAGTGAATTCTTTCTCAGCTGAGCCTTCAGGTGAGACTCCAGCCCTGGCCAAATGCTTGATTGCAGCCTCTTGAGAGGGCTTTAGAGGACCCAGCTAAGCTTTGCCTGGATTTCTGACCCACAGAAATCATGAAATAATATATGTGTGTGGTTTTAGACTGCTAAGTTTGTAGCAATTTGTTACACAGCAATAGATAACTAATACACCTATCCATGATCATCATGGATTCACTCATTCCTTTGTTTATTCAACAAGTGTTTTAAAATATGTGTTATGTATTAGACATATGCTAAGCACTAGAAAACAAAATAGATGTGATGTATGTCTTCAAAGAGATCACCATCTTATAGAACGGTTATGGGGATATAGGCATTAACTAGCTATACCTAAAACGAAATAATTTCAGTTGTGATAGGCACAATGAGGAAAAAGCAAAGCATATTGTAAGCGTGTATAAAAGAGCAACTAATTCGATCTGAAGGCCCAGCGAAGGCTTCCTTGAGGAAGTGACATTGGAGGAATTAATAAGAGTTAGCTCTTCCAGGCAAAAGGATCAGCAAGTGGGGAGGGCTTGAGGTGAAAACAGATGCACGCAGGGGCCAGGCCCTTGTTGTGAAAGCTAGAAGGGTTTAAACAAGAAGTGGCATGATCAGATTTGTATGTTAATAGAGTAGGGTATTGTGGCCACTTTAGAATTACTAAATGTAGTCTACATTTACAAAGAGCTTACTGTATTCCAAGTACTGTTTGGGGCACTTTATATATATTAAAACATTTAATTCTCACACAACTCTATGAGAAAGGAACTAAATTATCTCCATTTTTTCAGATGAGAAAACCAAGACACAAAGAGATTTGGTAACTTGCCCAAGATTATATGGCTGGAAAGTTGCAGAGCCTAGGTTTAAACCCAGGCAGCTGTCTCCAGAGTCCACCCTCCTCACTAGTCTCCCTTCGATAAAGGAGGGACTTGGGGGCCATTCTGATTGAAAGGGGGGGGTGGTTGAAGATTTGTCCTGCAGCTATGCTTGAATAACACGTTACATAAACTGGGAAAACATCAGCTGCCTATGTCAATGCTGCCTGATATGACAGCCAATAGCCACACGTGGCTATGGAGCACTAAAAGGTGGCTAGTCCAAATTGGGATGTACGGTAAGTGTAAAATACACACAGGTTTGAAGGCTTAGTATGAAAAAGAGAATGTAAACTATCTCAGTAATAATTTTTATATTAATTACATGTGTAAAAGATAATATTTGGATATATTGAGTTAAAAATATACTACTAGATGAAATTCACCTGCTTATTTTTACTTTTTGAATCTAGTTACTAGAGTATCTAAAATTGCATATGTGGCTCACATTATGTTTCTATTGAATGATACTGGCCCACATAAAGAATGGAGTCCAATTTCATTGTTCTGCATGTGTTTCTCCTGTTTTCCCAGCACCCTTTGTTGAAGAGACTATCCTTTCCCCATTGGGTATTCTTGGCTCTCTTGTCTAATATTAACTGACCATAAATGCTGGGATTTAATTCTGGGCTCTCTATTCTGTTCCATTGGTCTATGTGTCTATTTTTGAGCCAGTACCATACTGTTTTTATTACTATGGCTTTGTAGTATAGTTTGAAATCAGGAGGTGTGATACCTTCGGCTTTGTTCTTTTTTCTCAGGATTGCTTTGGCTATTCAGGGTCTTTCGTTGCTCCATACAAATTTTAGGATTGTTTCTTCTATTTCTATCAAGAATATCTTTGGTATTTTGATGGGGATTGTGTTGAATCTGTAGATGGCATTGGGTAGTATGGCTATTTTAACAATATTTATTCTTTCAATCCATGAACACAGGATGTCTTTCCATTTGTTTGTGTCATCTCGATTTCTTTCAGCAAAGTCTTATAGTTTTCATTGTACAGATCTTTCACTTCCTTGGATAAATTTATTCCTAAGTATTTTATTGTTTTTGATGCTATTGTGAATGGGGTAGTTTTCTTTGTTTCTTTTTCTGATGCTTCATCATTGGTGTAAAGGAATGCCACTGATTTCTGTAAGTTGACTTTGTAACCTGCCACTTTACTGAAATCATTGATTAATTTCAACAGTTTTTTGATTGACTTTTTGGAATTTTCTGTACGAAAGATCAGCACATTATGCTAAGTGAGATAAATTAGATAGATAAAGATAAGTACTGTATGATATCACTTATATGTGGAATCTAAAAAAAAAGTCAAACCTGTAAAAAAACAGAGAGTAAAGTAGTGGTTATCAGGGGATGGGGGCTGTGAGGTGTTTAAGGGTAAAATTTGTAAACAGTAGTAAATAACCCATAGAGATCTAATACACAGTATAAGGAATATAGTCAATAATACTGTACTATAATGATGTGATAAATATTGCTTCAATGGCAATCATATTACAATACATAAATAGATCAAAATAACATGCTGTACACCTTAAATTTATAAATTGTGACATGTCAGAATTATCAAATAAAAAAAATTAATTAATTAGTTAACCAACTAACCAAACAAACAAAAGAATGGGAGTGTGTGATAGAGGTTATGGGGATGCGGACTGAATCTTCTCCTCAGGCACCTCTAGATGCCATACCAGTGGCCACCCTGATGTTTCTAAAGAAGCACTGAGGGGAGATTTTACAGTATTCTCCCAAAGAGGAGGGGAGTGGAGGAAAGTGCTTGGAGGAGAAGGGGCTGCAGCTGCCAAAACTGGACCAGGGCTTTGGGGGTTCCTTACCCTAACAGCTGTCAGGACTTCAGTGAGATTAACTGCAAAGTGTCTAAGAAACAGGCACTAGGGGCTCTAAAGTGTGGCCTAGATCCCCCCAATATGGGTCTGATGTTTATAACAGTATGTGGTAAGCGGGATACAAGTATGAGCTGTTATCATTCTCACTTGTATTGTTCCGTGCCCAGTTTTGGTATGGAAGCAACAGGGTCACTGGCCTTCAGAGGCCCATATAGTCCTGAGTTGGTGACATCTCAGCATCAACCAAGGAGGCTCAGAGGAACCTCCCCAAGTGTTCCAGATTGCATAAGATCCCAGGGACCTTTGACCTTGCAGCCCAGCGAGGGAGCCTCACTAATAACTAAGATTTTTTTTTTTTAAATTTTTATGTATTTATTTTTTCCCCCAAAGCCCCAGTAGATAGTTGTATGTCATAGTTGCACATCCTTCTAGTTGCTGTATGTGGGACGCGGCCTCAGCATGGCCGGAGAAACAGTGCGTCGGTGCGCGCCCAGGATCCGAACCCAGGGCGCCGGCAGCGGAGCGCTCGCACTTAACCGCTAAGCCACGGGGCCGGCCCATAACTAAGATTTAATTTCTTGATAACTGGTAAGTGGAAACTTGGAGTTGGGTTTAATTTGATTTAGAAAAATAATGTGCCAATTCTTGCTGAGTATTACGTTTGAGAAAAATTCGTGTCCATTACTGAGGTTTTTGATTTTTGAGGCAAGAGAGAGACTTCAGCAATTTTAGGGGAACCTTAAAATAGACTTGATTTTTTGATTAACAGCCAGTACTACTGGGCGTGAAGAAACTCTTTTATGAAAATATTCTTCTATAGTAATTGCCCATATGTCTGCATATTTGAAATATTATTAAAATTATTTTATAACCTGTAATTTTTTGAGGTCCTTGAAAGCTTCTGGATGAATTCTGAGTATCCTGTTGCTCTGTAAATAGAGGTTCTCCAGTTGCAGGCAGTTATGAAAATCAGACAAACCAATTTGCGATATCCCATTGAAAGACAGATCCAAAGTCTGTAATGACTTCAGCTTCCACAGTCCTGTTAAAATTAAAAGCAAATTAAGATATAAACTGCTGATATTTACTGCAGCATTATTTGTAATGGTGAAAAATTGGAGACAACCTAAATGGTTCTCATCAGAGAAATGGTTAAACAAAGTATGGTATATTGATACTACAAAATACTATGCAGTTTTAAAAGAGAATGGGAGCTGACTGAACAGGAAGGAAAATGTTAAGTTGAGAACACTATAGGGTATGATTCCAATGTTCTTGGAAAAAAAGAGCCATATGCAAACATATATATTTTGAGTGAGCAGAGAAAAAGGCTGGCAGGGAGATGAACTAAGCTATCAGTAGTAGTTACGCTTAGGAGTAGGATGGGGGAGGGAGGTGGGGTGGGATATGGAAGGAAATTTTGTTTTTATTTTAGGCACTTTGGCATTTCTTCTTTCAATGAGTATATGCTAATATTATAATAAAAGCATCAGTTAAAAAATCTAACTTTGAAGGAGGTGATAAGTAAGTATTTGCTTATTTGATTGAACTATGGGTAAAACTGAATAGCTGTGATGATTTATTTATATGGATGAACTCTTTGAGTTTTCAGATGTTCTTATTCTATTTTGTAGCTATATCCTTTCTTTTATCTACTTATTGTTGATATTATAACTATTTTCTGGGCATTCTTGTATTTTTCAGAGGTAATAAGTTGCAGCTGGATTTTGTTTTCCAGCAAAATAATCGGAGTTTTGTTCTCTGCCTTTGTATTTCACTTGATTCCAGAGAGCGACCATTTGGCACTGAAAATAAAGCTTGAGAATGAGGTGCCAGTCATAGCAGTCTTCCAAATTTGATTTCCCATATGAGTCTCACAAGGAAGCCCTGCATTTTTACATATCTTTCTGCTGTTCTCACATGTAGTCTGTGTCTTGAACCAACTACTACATAACAGATCAGGTTGGTTCAATTCCAGAAGGGTTTATTACTTGCCTACTGTTTGCAAGGTACTTATTGGTACTTATTGTAAGACTGATCATGCAGAGAGATGATGACTTAATTGAAATGGCTGTACATCTACGTTATCATGCTCATTTCAGCTGCACAGAGTAAGCAAGAGATCATTGGGACAACGACTCAATCAAAACATCACGAGCAGGCACTTGGTGCTGAGGACAAATAAGCATAGACTCCTTGTGTCTGACTGAGTGGTAAGACACACACACAAGAAACAGTCATTGGTTATACAAAGCAGTTATACTCCCACCATCTGACTATAAAATTAACTGTTGGTTGTCTGTCAGACTCTCCATCAGATGGTTAGTCCCTTAAGGGCAGAATTCACATCTTTGTGAACTCTTGCAATGCCTGGAACATAACATGCATTCAATAAGCCAGAGGTCACAGTGTTTGCCTTGCACAGAGATTTAAAAATTATTGAGCCAACAATAAAGATTCAACACAAAAATTTGCATTTCTAGCTTCTCTTGAAAAATTGTAAGTTCCAACTGGCACAAGACAACCTTTGGCTGGAGTTGATGAATGAGGGCTGCCTGCTTTAGACGAGGCATGCACTTATTGAAGAATATGATTTCCTTGTGCTCATATCTCTATCAAAAATAGGAAAACATAAGATAGGCCCAGAAACCTGCATGTTTTAAAGAAATGGGAGAGAACCAAGGCTGATGTTCAGCTGGCATATGCTAGTAAGAAATTCTTCCATATTGATTTGTAAATAGCTATTGCTGAGCCCTGTGTGCCGCCCCATCGCCCTAGGTGCTTCAGTGTCCCCCCTCACAGCAGGACTCTGTTCCATCACTACAGCCAGGACGCATCCAACTGGGGATCCCAGGCAAAAGGCCAGTTGTTAAATATTTTGAATATAATCCCTGGAGAAAATACGTTTTGTTGTGGAGCAAAGAATGTTGCTACACATTTTAATATGCAAACATATGGGTCTGTGAGAAAAAAAATGCAATGCAAGACATCAATAGGAAAGAAGCTATAGTTTCCTTTAACATTTTCATGATACCTGCCTGACCTATATAAGGATGTGAACTTATGATTCCTGCAATTTCTCAGTGCTTAACTGAATTGAATACGTACTCTAGGAGTTCAGTGGAGGGGGAAATCATGGCTAGCTTTTGAGTGAAGAGAAGAAACTATTTTAAATTCCTATTTAACTGTATACCCTTTTATGCTCTAAGCATTTCGCAAACATCTCCTTTTACTCCTCACAGATTCCTGGGGGTTATTACTGTTTTTCAAATGACAAAACCTAGTTGCAGCTAAGTTAAGAACTTGCCCAACGTCATGGTGGGTGGAGCTGTGGAGCTGGGATTGAAACTCAGATCTTTTAACCATTAACCTTTAACCACACACATTTCTTACAAAAAAAACAAAGACATGAACAAGGCCCTGAAAGATAACTTGAATTTAGAAAGGGGAAAAGAAGAGTGGGGCACAGTGTTCTCTAGGCAAGAGAATGGTATGGGCTGTGGAATACATGAAATTGCCAAACGTATTGGAGGCTGTTGAGTGATTCTACTTGTATCAGGGTCTACTTGTAATAGGGTCCTGGAGAGGAACTTAGGATCTTGAGTTTTATTCCAGCTCTATTTGTTACTTTTGATGTGAATCAGTGAGTATCACTTAAAGTCTCCATGCCTCATTGTTTCTTGCAGGTGGAATTGAGATCATCTTTGACAATGACCTTCAAGTATTTTGAGCTCAGTGGAAGCCAGGTGTAATAGTTTAGATTGTTGTTCAGCAAATATTCACTTTCCTGTGGGCACAGTATACTTCCCCATCCCATTTAGCTGAGTTTGGCCATGTGACTTGCCTTGGCCAATGAAGTGTTAGCAGACACCATGTAAGCAAAGATTTGAAATGTGCTTATGTGGTGGGGCTTGCTCTCTTGGCTTCTGCCAAGAACACTGTTACGTAAAGAACATGCCCTGACTAGCCTGCTGATCCAAAGACCATGAGAGATATGTGGAGCAGACTTAGACCCAACGTGTAGCTCTCAAGAAAATAGGTACAGTACCTTGAGGAATAACAACTAACTGCATAAGAGTAGGGTTAGAGCTGCTCTTGGCTGCAAAAATATTTGTCTTATTTATAGAATCAGAGTCCTTTAGGGAGATCTGGCACATTAGTGCTACCAGCCTCAGGTGACTACATGTGAATTATGCTGGACTAAATGTTGTATGTGCTGACATACTATCTTGTGAATGAGTTGATGCTGGGATGAAGATGAAGACAGATGCTGTTAGGCTAGCATCAAATATAGTCTACCAATTCTGCAGAAAACCCAGGACATGATATCCAGCTGGCCCTGATTGTGTGGGTCTGAGGTACTCTGAGAACAAGGTTTCAGGAGAAGAGCTCCTGATAAAGTAATCCGATCTGGGTAAATTCCAGAGATCATCTGCAGATGACATTCTGATCCCCACACAACAAACTAAATTCAAGTTGGATTAAAAGTATAATCTGCCTGAAAAATCTTCTCTGACAATATCGCTGTCCATGGGGTGGGAAGCACATATAAACAAGAGTGTGGTGGAGTTTTACTTGGGGGAAATTGTTTTTGAAAATAAAAGCAAAGTAAGAAATTATAAAGAAAAATATTAATACATTTACCTACAAAAATTTAAATTGAGCATAGCTCATAAAAGGAACAAAAATAAGGATTACAGTAGATTTCTTATTGGAAACAATGCAAATTGAAGACAGTGGAACAACATTTTAAAAATACTAAAAATATTGTGCCAACCTAGAATTCTCTACTGAGCGAAAAAATATTTTAAAAATTAAGGCAAATAAAGACTTCTCAGATATACAAGATCCAAAAGAATTCATCACCAGCAGATCCACACTAGAAGACTTGTTAAAGGAAGTATTTCAACCAAATGAAAAATGAAATCAGATAGAAGTCTGGATCTACACAAAAGAACAAAGAGCTCTGGAGAGAGGAAGTCAAGATGGCGGCGTAAGCAGACTCCGAACTCACCTCCTCCCGCGGACACAGCCAATTTACAACTACTCGTGGAAAAATTACCCCTGAGACAGAACTGAAAACTGGATAAGAGGAACTCCTGCAACAACAGACAA